TTTTTTTTTTTTTTTGCTGGAATGTTTCTGGAATAATTCTGAGGTATCGAGAGAACAAAAAGAGCTTTTTTAAGTCACCTGGTTTTTTTTTTAAAGTTAATTAAATGTCGATCCCGAAAGCTTCTGTTGCCAGTTCTCAGATACGCAAACAGCGTGGGACGAGTTCTACAGGAAAACGAAAGCTTTAAATCTTGATGTACATCTTCTTTTTCCTGTTCGCCTACACACGTAAGTATCTTCATGCCGGTAGTTTGCCTATCAACACAAGACTCTCCTGCTAACCAGTTGCTCCATTTAACAGATTTAATTATTGTAATTTCGGAGGGCCACGTGTTTGTTAGCTTTTTGATTTGCTGTTAAGTGAAATAAAGTCTCTGCTACTACTACTATTATCTTGATCCCTGGCTTGAATTTTTATTAGTATCTTCAGTTTCCTTCTGTTCAGTCCGATCCTAGGCTAGGCTTGAATACGCAGAGTTTAATTTACACACGAATTTGACCGACAAAACAGATGGGAAAAGACTTACCTTAAGGTTATTGTTACGAGTCACAACTAAATTTAACGACTTTGTTGACCAAGATTTAGCGGCTATTTAGTTAGGCATTTCTTACGCTTTTAAACTGATTTTGATTATCAAGACCAAAACGTCTTTGTGACATTTATAGTTTGGGAGTACGGTGAAGTTAAAATTAGCGACAGCGATCATGATAATCGATTTAGTCGTCGCCAAAAATAGTAACATCTCCTTTTCCTTGCTATAGTTTACTGTGCTAAACATGAAATCGATAAACGGGTCAGTATTTCAATCTTCATTTTCACTGTCAAAATAGAATCAGCTCACAGGCCTATAGCACCGGATGAAATGCAAACAAAAATTGAAACCTATAATATCTAAACCCGATTCTAAATTTACTTTCAATTCAAATTGTGGGTTGTTCTAAAGCGCGCGTGATCTTTACACAAAGAATAGTGTGGGCATCACATTTGGATGTGAATTTAAGCATGTATATTGATAATCGGCTTTTAGCTACACTCATCTGTGTATTCATGTTTGAATCAATTAATAGAGCATTGAATCGATCTGTAAGGTATTTCACGCTTAAATAAAAACAAAGCCAAAGTATAACAAAAACCGAATCAACCACAACCCCTACGAGCCATCCTTACTATGAAATTTGACGGCACAAAAGTAGTAAAGTAATAACAAAACTTGGTCAATGTTTGAAATCTGAGAAATTGTAGACATGATCGACATTGTTTTTTTATTAAAGCAGTGGTATTATAATTAATGGTTAAGTATTGAGGAATACTTTTAACTTTTCTTAGTCCTCCGTTTTACCGAAAAAAAAACCTCGCGGAACAGCTTCCACTGAAATAAAATAGTCTTTTTTATGTGCCAAGTTAAAGAGCAACTGAAATATCTACCCATGTTAATTTCTAGTTATCAGTTAAATTCGCCTGTGGTTTCTAGCAAGTAGAGGTAGCATTTAGTCATTTGATATACATTTTACTAATAGAGCAAGACATAGCATATCGTGTCACAAAAAGCCGAATATGACATAGATTTAAGTGCCGGTCTTTAACGAGGCGTGAGAGGAAACGAAACAACTGATATAGTTCCACTTATAACTATTATCACTGCCCTGGGGAATATATGCCGAATATATTGCCTAACAGATAAATCCCATATTAACTTTTGGTTTATTTCCTCTCGATTGCAGTAATTTGGCCGCTATTTATTTTACTACTGGTTGTATGCATGCAAAGGGGTCAAATTTCTATTTCCCGTGAAGTTTCCGAGGGTATCTGTACCTTTCAGTTTTGCTTTGCCAGTTAGGTAATTGCGCAGCTCTCAAAGTGATTAACTAAACAGAGGGATAACTTCATTTAAGAGGATTTTAGGGCTCTCTGATCTTTCAAACAAACACTGTTGTTTTAGTAAAGCCTTCTGCATTTTCATTTAATATTCCAAATCAGTGTTACTTCTTCGACTTTACAAAAACAATGATAAAAATGTTTAAAATTTCTTTCTAAAACTCCAATTCGGTATTGTTTGGGGCTAACGTTGAATCCGTGAGCCCCACTTACATTGCACATTTTCTAGCGCAGGATTTTAGTCATATCCTACACGTGTTTCTTGTGGGTGTTTTGTTATCCACATCCTAGTTTCATCTTTCTTTCAAGTTTCATCTTTATATCTCGTAGTTTAATCCTGTCGAAGTCTCACTAGCAGACCAAACCTGTCGATTAATAAACTCTGTCAGACAAGATTAGTTGTTGCTGCGTGCTGCCGACAAGTCTTCTAATTCTAAAATTTCAGTCAACAATTTTCTATCAAATTTCAAGTCCAAGCCACAGACTTTTTTCATGGTATGAATAGTCCAATTTCGATATATTAAAATTCAGCCTAAAACAAGAAACCTCAGCACGAGGCGCCGGGGAATAAATGCAGAAGTTGCCGGGTTTCTTCTCCGGAACTTCGTGTTGAGGTCTATTGTTTTAGACTGAATTTTAATATATCGAAATTGGTCTATTGTTCTAGCAAAATGGAGAAATCACTTCACCTTTTAGTATAAATCTGAAATTAATTCTCTTGTTTCCAAAACAAATGTCTTGATAGAACATTCCCAACGTTTTGTTCTGTACTGGTTTGCCAACCACCACGCAGAAATAAATCTTTACTTAAGCATAGAATTTCCTTCATTTAGGAAGTTTAACTCATTTAATGACTAACACATTAGAGTCTTATTAGATGTGTTAATGTATCTTTAGTTTGAAAATTGGTTGTCTTTGTAATTGCTTACAGTCCAGCTGATCTCATAAGTGGCACTTTTTCGAGATTCAGAGGACAAAGTCAAGACTGAACCCGAAGTAATTCCTTAGGGATTTGAAACTCATTTTAGTTAAAAGATGGTAGATCCGAGTTTTGATGGAAATTTTGCAAAAGATAAAAATATAGACTTGCTAGAGGAAAAACTCTTAAATGTGAAGGAGATCATTACTTGAATTGATCTTCATTTGATGAGCCAAATAGTCTGGAAAACTAGACTTCACATATATATAGCTAGAAATCTGAAGAAAAACTTAGGTGTTGCAGGAAAATGCTCATTTTATCCCCATAGTGTTCATGCTACAATTTCCAAATAGTTGCCCAAAGACATATGATAGACTAAAATAAAACAGTGATAAAAACGTTTCAGGGTCAATCACCCACGTTTAGAATTCTCGTGCATTTCCGAAGCTCCTTCCCGCACCCCCAGCGTTTACCTTAAATGAACTCTTGTGCATCTGGTGCTGGTAAGATAATGACCCTTGAAACGCGGAATGATATCGAGATAACTCGTCAATAGTCAGCGTCAGTTTTGGTTAAGTACTGACAGCAAGGGTGTGAGTTGGTGGACGTTTGACGTTAAAAGAAAATTTTGAACACGTTCTCAGAAGCGAACGAGAACATTAAATTACAGAGATCAACGATTTCTTTCCAAGGCTGGCTTTTCACATCAGACTTAAACAAAATATGACTAACATAAATAAAGTTAATTATGATAATTACAGATATTGTCTCTTGAGGAACATTTGAGTGAGTAACTTCCTTGTACTTCATGCTGTTAAGAAGAAGCAAGATCAATCACTTTCGTGAACGAAGCATACAATAGCCAAATGGTTTTTGTTGTTTTAAGGTATTATTTAACTTAATGGCATAAAAGGTGATTATTTGCAGAAATCATTTGTAAACGGTAGTACAATATCTAAAGACGCGTAAAGAAATCAAAGGTTTTGACCTACAATTTTTGTTACCACTATCTGTAAGACACGATTTTTTATTTGAATGAGAAAATTTAGATAAATTTGACGTATACACTATTTTTTTTGACGTCTTTCAGCAACGCAAACATGGTAGAACATAAAACACGAGTCGCCCATTCCGTTTTGTCATAATTGCTCTTTGTGTCTGGTTATCAAGGGCCCGTAATGATCTACTTTGATATGCAAGCACATGCTAAGAACAAGGAAGCGAAAGGTTGATTTATTCCGTGGCCATGTGATATTAAGTGCTGGGACAAAATAACGAGGAGGAAGCTACAAAAGAAACCTTCATTTTTCTTTGTTCGTTAATTTATCATCTCACTAATTCCCCATTAAGGAAGCGATTTTATCGCAAATGAAGACGCCACGCGTACTCCTACAGCAAGGCTTGACCGATAACGCTGGCAGAATCAAGCGCATAAAAGGCTGCCTTTGGTGCCACAACGACATCAATAATTTTTTTTGACTCACGGATTTGTTGAAAACCCTCTTTGTAAGGAAAAAGCTAGATTTATAAATCAAAATGAGTACAAAACTCTCTTGGATTCTCTTAACGTTTATGCTCTGTTCTCTTGTAACTTGGGGAAGCGCCTTCACCCCAGGAGCAGGGAAACCTCAGGTGGGAAGACGAGAAATACCGCCAAGACCTAACACCGAACAGGTTTGTTGTAAACATGTAGTTTAAAAGAACATACTTAGGACGTTAGATTTTCTTCCATCTGAATGAGCGTGATCATACGGCTTACAACTAAGTCTTTTGCTCTTAAAACGACTACTCAACTTTCACTCTTATGATGCCATATTCTTTTATGAACTGTAATTACACTGCATCCAAACGTAACGAGTTTCTTTAGTAAATCGTTTTCTCATTTGATGAATGATCTTCTTGACTTGATGTCTCATGGCCAAATAAGAGGCATCATTATCAGGTGACATTTTGGAATAATGCCAAGCTTACAACAAGAAGAACTTTTATGGATGAATTGTTCTCTTAGCGTTTAAAGTTGCAGTTCGATACAAGCATTCGTGTTCCAAATTCAAGTTATAAAGTTACTTTAACATTTCTTTAGAGTTTAAGAAACCACAAAACTGCCACCTTTTATGACTATGGCATGACACCTGACCACTTTAGTGTTCAAGGTCATTTTTCTCTGTCATAAGTTTTCATCGTGTTTCTTAAGATATGCATGCCTGGCTCCCGGGGGGGGGGNGAGAGCATGGCTTGAAATTTATTCACCCCTAAGACATGCCAATTATAAGACAACAATTATATGCCAGTTATAAGACATCTCCTAAGTTTGATATTTTTTTCACCTCAATACTGTAAAAGGCACCGCGGAAGTTCCCGCTCTGTACGTTTTGAGGAGGAACACCCTAAGCTTGTGCTGATGCTGTTGTTTTGGTTTGCCGCTTTTTTTTCAGCAGGAAAACTTCTTAACAGCACTCTGTGAGAAAGTTCGGCCCTGCGCAGAAAACAACAGAAAACGAAGTCTCGATCGTGAAGCTCAACCTGCAAGGGATGCTGGATCCCTCACTGGATATTAGATAGCCGGACGTTTGATAAAGACAAGATTACACTATTTTCACAGCGTTTCTGTAAAAGAAGAAAAATATATTATATTTCACTAATTATGTTCGCGCTTGTATTTTCGTAAACTTGATAATGTAACTGGCATTATAAAACTTTTAGAAATCAATTATGTGTAAGTTAAACGCTATTTTTGTAACTGAAACGTGAAAATAAACGATCAGTACTGCCTTAAATGCATTTTATTCACATTGGAATGACTGAAGATACAAAAGCTTTCATAAAAGAATGCATGACTTGGGGGCATAAGATCCCAGAGGAAGGCTGAACAATCGACCTGAAACTAATAATAAGTCAACATTACTGAGAGTAACCAGTCTAAACCGGTAACATTCCCAACAGACTACGGTTTACTGAGTCACTAGTTTACTGTCCAAGGAAAACAAGGTACAATAATTTACCGCATTTCGCACATCAAATTACTTCCTTCTTTGTTTTTAATCGCCAGAATTATAAGTGGCTCTTCGATAAGAAAGATTTCAATAAAACCCATTTAATAAGATCATCTTTGAGCCATAAAACTCTGGTCGTATTTAAAGTGATTCCCAAAATAAGAAAGTGACCGATTAAGCTAAACACAATGTAGCTAACACTGATTGAAGTAATACGGGGGTTGCCTTAATTAAGCTCCGTTTTTTTTTCTTAATTAAGCTCTTAAGACTTTTCAAAAACCACGAAATTAAGATGCCCAGCTACACATACAATATTGAACCCCTTCTTTTAAACAACAAAATTGCATCTGAATCCGAGTTCCTGAAAATAGTCAGAACCTATTAGAGTGACTTTTAGGCCAGATTGGATTCAACTATAAGGTGAAAAATGTATCAAACAAAGCTTGACGTGAAACTCTGTTCATTTTGCAGTGTTAAAAGTGGCAACAGTCATCATAAGAAATGTTCGCAACGTACGCGCTGAGTCATGGACCATGTC